ATTTAAAAAACTTGTGCGGGCCCTGGCTGGTGTAGCTCACTGGATTGAGCACGGGCCTGGGAACCATGCAACCATGGTTCGATTCCCAGTCAGGGCACATGCCTGGGTTGCAGGCCAGTTCCCATCAGGGGACTCAGAAGAGGCAACCATACATTGACATTTCTCTGCCTCTCTCCTTCCCTTCTCTTCTAAAGATAAATAAATATTAAAAAAAAAAAAAAAACAAAAAACCTTGTGGGGGTTGAGGTACTGGGAGAGAGTCCCATCTCCCAGCCTCAGAGGAGACCTCGTTGGAGAGACCCCACAGGGTCCTAGAATGGACATAAGCCCACACACCCGGGAACCAGTACCAGAAGGGCCCAATTTGCTTGTGGCAGAAGGGACTGAAATGAGCAGAGCAAGCACCATTGTTCTCTCTCTGACCCTGCCCCCAAGTACAGCGTCACAACCCAGCTACTGGGTTGCCCCACTGCCCTGATGAACACTTCAGGCTCCACCTCTCATATGTAACAGGTGCAACCAGACCCCAAAAAATAAATAAATAAAATAAAAATAAAAATAAAAATAAAATAGGCTCAAATGGAAGAAGAGATCAAAGACCCAGAACCAATACAGCTAAGCAACCAAGAGATAGCCAACCTATCACATGCACAGTTGAAAGCACTGGTGATCAGGACGCTCACCAGTTGACTTTGGTCGCAAATTAGATGAAAAAAATGAAGGCTACACTAAGTGAAATGAAGCAAAATGCACAGGGAACCAATAGTGATGGGAAGAAAACTGGAACTCAAATCAAGAGAGTGGACCAGAAGGAAGAAAAAAATGACCAAACAGAAAAATATGAAGAAACAAGAATTCAAAAAAAATGAGGAGAGGCTTAGGAACCTCCAGGACATCTTTAAATGCTCCAACATCTGAATTATAGGGGTACCAGAAAGGGAAGAAGAAGAGGAAGAGCAACAAGTGAAAAACTTATTTGAACAAATAATAAAGGAGAACTTCCCAAATCTGACAAAGGAAATGGAGAACTTCCCAAATCTGACAAAGGAAATAGACTTTCAGAAAATCCAGGAAGCTCAGAGAGTCCCAAAGAAGTTGGACCTAAGAAGGAACACACCAAAGCACATCATCATTACATTAGCCAAGATTAAAATGAAGGAGAGAATTCTAGAGGCAGCAAGAGATAAGGGGACAGTCACCTACAAAGGAGTTCCCATCAGACTGTCAGCAGATTTCTCAAAAGAGACCTTAACAGGCAAGAAGGGGCTGGAAAGAAGTATTCCAAGTCATGAAAGGTAAGAACCTACATCCAAGAGTGCTCTATCTAGCAAAGCTTTCATTTAGAATGGAAGGGCAGATAAAGTGCTTCTCAGATAATGGCAAGTTCAAGGAGTTCATCATCACCAAGACCTTATTATATGAAATGTTAAAGGGACTTGCCTAAGAAAAAGAAGATAAAAATATGAACAGTGAAAGGATAGCAAACTCACAGTTATTAACAACCGCACCTAAAACAAAAGCAAACTAAGGGGACAGCTAGATGAGGAGCGGAGCCACAGAAATGCAGATCACATGGAGGGTTAGCAACAGGGGAGTGGGAGGAGGAGAAGGGGGGAGAAGGTACAGAAAATAAGTAGCATAGATGGTGGGGAGAAAATAGACAGGGGGCAGGGCAGGAGTAGTTCGGGAAATGTAGAAACTAAAGAACTTATGACACAAGGACATGAACTAAAGGAGGGAAATGTGGGGGGAGGGATGTGCAGCGTGGAGGGGAATGAAGAGGGGAAATGGGATGACTGTAATGGCATAAGCAATAAAATATATTAAAAAAAGAAGTTGTAATGACTAAAATGAAACCAACGCACACAAAACACACAGCAGGGAGTCTGACACTCAGATTATGCACTCAGAATTCAGTTATTATCAACCTTAAGAACTAGACATCGCTATGACAAAGAAAATTAAGAGAAAAGCTCAGAAAGAAAAGAGTGTCTTCCTTCTCACTTACCTCTATAAATCCTTAAAAAAATTTAAAATAAAACCTCAATCTACTTAAAATGCAGAGAAGTACAATCAAACTAACACCAGCAGACTATTCAAGATAATTTCCAATTCTGAGAATAAATGACACCTATCTGTGAGGCAGGGAAGTAAAGTACCAATCCTCAAGACACACAGAAAAGAGCCATTTCTAGAATCTTACATGAAACCAGTGGTTCACATTCCTGACTGCACCTCAGGAACACACGCCCAGAGCCTCTGTGAGGTTAATTATAATTAAGTCAGAACCTCTAAAAACAAGTACTAGACATCTTAAGAAAGTCCATGGATAACTAAAATATGAATCCAGAATTAAGAATCAATGGTTAGCCCTGGCTGGTGTCGTCCAGTGGATTGAGCACAGGCCTGTAAAGAGCAAAGGGTCGCCGGTTCAATTCCCAGGCACGGTACATGCCTGGGTTGCAGGCCAGGTCTCCAGTAGGGGACCCAGTGGGGCAACCACGTGATGATGTTTCTCTCCCTCTTTCTCCTTCCTGTCCCCTCTGTCTAAAAATAAATAAATAAATCTTTTTAGAAAAGAATCAATGGATAAACCCAACCTTCCTTTACTCAAAGGGACTAGAAATCTGAGTCTTTAACACAAAATAAAAGGAGTACTAAATTCCGTGATTTCTATTTTTTATAATTAATGAACCACGCCAACTAATACTCTAAAAAAGTTTTCTCTATACCGACATTATCTCCATCATAATATATTTTTCTTTTTACATGTTTAAAGATTTTCTTTTTTTAATTACATCTTATTTATTATGCTATTACAGCTGTCCTGATTTTTCTCCTTCGGCCCCCCTCCACCCAGTACCCCTCACTCCCTCATGAGGTTTTTTTGTGTGTGTGGGTTCTTTAAGAGGAATAGCTTGGGGCTCCAGCTTGTGTTTCTTCCATCAACACAATCCATGCTGATTTTTGCAGCCAAAAGTTGTGGGGACTTATGTTCCTGGCACTGGAACCCTGGGCTGGGGGTCCTGGTGTGGACCTGGGCCTCCTCAGTCCCAAGATATCCCTCCTGAATTTTTATCCACCACACGTGGATGTGGGACCAACCCGTTCTGTGTCTGCACCCCTCCTACCAGTCTGGATGGATGTGATTTTTTTAATTCCCTAGTTGTCAGACTTCCATTCAACTCGATTTCTGACAGTTTTGAGTGGTGGCTATTCTATATTTTAGCTGTAATTTTGATGTGGTTGTGTGAAGAGATGAGCCATGTCTGCCTGTGCAGCCATCTTAACCAGAAGTCCTGTAGTACTTTCATAGAAGGCAACTTCTGCCAGAATAGTGTTAAGAATCTGGTGTAAGAGACCAGACATCCTAAACATGTGACTTACTACTATTTTCAGGATACTGTGCAATGAAGACAAATGTATAATTCACTAAACCTCTACAGTCTTTAAATAAAACACCTAAAATTACTCCACTATTGTATGTCCTCATGAAGAAAACCATATAAAAATGAATCTATTCACTTAGTGAGTGTACTAAACATTGTCAAAGTTGTCACTCTGATCTGCATTTTCTTGCCCTTCTACAATAAACACAAATTACTTGAGTAATAAAAATAATAAAATAATAAACAAAATAAAAAATTTAAAGATGAATTTTGAAGAGGATCAAAGAATGGGATACTGTATCTCCAACTAACAGTTATGTTCCAAATTTAGGAAATGCCAATTCACTTTAAGAACAAAAAACAAAGCATATCATGAATGGCTGTTAGCTGAATGCCCTGGTACCCAACAGAACAGGGAACATTTTGTTGTTGTGGCCACTACATTTTTCAGAGTGCTATGTATAAAACTAAAATTTTATCTTCCCTTTGGCTTATGTTCCAAAGCCAAATTTTATATTTAAAACAGTGAAATACTTCAACGGTATAAGTATAAATTTATGTTTGAACCCCTACCCATAAACAAGATCAACTCCAAAGGCCACAAGTAAAAAAAAACTTGTTTCCTTGTATGGGCCACTGAAGGACTCTCAAAGAGTTGTGGATCAAAGACACAGACACACTGCAAAGCAGAGTCCCTAGCACTGCTAGCTTCTGAAAGGCAAGCTGACTATGGGTGAGAAACCTGTTAAGAGGTCCAAGAGAAAGGCTTTAACCTTTGGGTGGCTTGCAACTTCTAAATAACAGTGTAAAAAAAACAGCACAATAAAAACAATTGTAGTCATAAGCTGAATCATAAAAACGAACAACAATTAAGTTACAATTTGCAAGAGAAGTGACTATGTAATTTGACCAAAAGAAAAAAAAAATCAACTTACGAATTTTAGAACCAAGTTCAAAGTTGCCCAGAAGAGTCTTTCAATGTTCCTGAACCAACTCAGCACTGCAAAGTACACTCCCTACGTGAGTAACAGCAAGTCCTACATTTTCATCCTCAATGGATACTTAAAACATAGTAAATTTTTACCATAACTACATCATTGCTTTTATATTCTCAAAATGTAGTCCAACACTCTCTGAATGTTTTTTCTAATACACATGATCTACTTTACTATTTATCTTCATTAAATAATCATTTTCTAGCTACAGCTCTCTGCCTTTCTACCTTAGTCCTGTGCTCTCCATTTCTTTCCAGAACATTTATAGAACCATAAGCGTAATAAAACTATAAGCATTATAAAACTAAAAAATTAGAACAAATGGGACAAGAAATTTTTAGTTGCATAAAATCAGTAGCATTCTTAACCATAAAACTATAGAAAATCCTTTATGAACTATTTTTTAAATAAAATGCAAACTCTCATTATCCTACTAAAAGTACCATGAAATCTTCCACTCAACTTTTAAATATTTTCCAACAAAAATGCATTCAAGTTCCCATTTGTTTTAATCAGATTATTTTTAAAAGCCCGCATTTCTTTTTTAAAAAGCCTGTAGAGTCTGTTTGACCAAATCTTATAAACCATGAAGTATGTTTAGGAAATAAAAACTCACCTCTTCTTGCGTAAGTGGAATCCATATCTTTAAACTGTACCACAACAAAGTCTGAGCACTTGAACAAAATACTCTCCATTATTTCTTCACGTTTTGGCCCTGAACTGGATTCTGTACTTTTCTCATGTGCAGCATCGAGTACCAAATCACACTAAAATGAAAAACACAAGTAAATAAACATTTATAAAACCTGACAGGCATTCTTCAGCACATCAAAGTACTATTCTTACATACCTTTGGCAAAAATAATCTATCTCAAGAGAATTTATATCTTTTTCTCAGAAATACAATCTGTTATCCTTTCCATCATTCTAAAATCCTTTCACCTGAAAGCCGGTCTTTGCTACCATGGTATGTCTCAAGCACATTAACAGTAATAAAAAGGTAAACAAATGGAACAATCCAATCCCTCCCTCTTCTGGTCCACAATGCTTGCAAAGGTCAAAATATTTTCAGAAGCACCTAGAGCAAGAAGTCTTTTTGATTACACATACCATCTATAAAATAATCAGTATTTGAAACTGAAGAGCAAAATCATTCAAAGTGGTTTTAAGAAGTGCTTTAAAGGTAAAGCACTGAGCATGAGAATGTGGCAAACACACCCACCCCGTAACTACAGACTTGCTGAATCAGAAACTAAGTAGACACTGTCGGGAAACCACACAAACATATGGCAATTGATGATTCATGAGCTTTCATATTTAACAAAAAGGAAAAGAGTAAAAATTACCTTAGGACTGTATGTTTTAAAAACTCCTTCATATATACCTCCATTTTTCACTTGTACTTCACATTTGGATCCCTAAAAACATACAATGAATTTATCAAAGAAACAGTATGCTACTCAGTCATGGGGGGGGGGGTAACTGTTTTCAATTTACTTTTTATAGCTCATCAGGCTCCATTCAACACATCCAGTGTTCAGTTGACAGAGTATAAAAATTTTTAAACATCAATAATATACGGAATTCTCAAAATTCTTCAGAGTATGCTGCTTAGAATTTACAGTAGGAACTGAAATACTGAAGTTAAGCATTTCTAACTCCAAATTTATTAGGTGACAAGATAATGCACTAAAAAACTACCAATATTATTATGTACACAGCAGGTTTAACAAGAATACTTTTTATAATGAGAGTTACAATAATTTGAGTAGAATTCTTATCTTTTTTTCCTAAATTATCCTGACTAAATATTACCTAAAAAATGTTACATAGAGAATCATTCACCCACGTTTTATAACTTCATAAGATTACTTTCTTGCATTCCCAAGGCAGTTTCTCCCCAGTAATCTGGTAACTTACGACAACTGATGTAAGTATATGAACCATCCTCATATTTGCATAGATTCCATCAAAAGTTATCTGGAATATTAAGAAAAACATTATTAGCAATTGGTATTATCCTTGCATATATATTAAAATTAACATTTATTTTGTTACAAAATGTTTTTAGTTGGGTTCGTAATACCTTAAATGCATTAAAGAAAGATTTGGTTTACTATAGTCTTTTACTTCCTTAGAGAATAGAAGCTTAGATGTACAAAAGAAAAATCAGTCACACCAACCAACCATGTTTCAACTACACATAATACAAAAAGCAAAAGTGAATTTACGTATGTGAGGAAGGACAAGACCATAGGAACAGACTACACAGATCAATGGCTGGGGAGTAGGTTTCACTATAAAGTAGCATAGGGGATTTTGGGAGGTGATGGAACTGTTCTACTATCTTGATAATGATGATTGTTACGAAACTGTATGCACCAAAATTCAGAGACCTGTACACTGAAAGGACTGAGAATGTCTTACTAAATCAATAGGGCGTAGTTGAGGTCCTCCCTATAGAAGACCCTTGACTACATGCTCTTAGCACATATGAATCAAGGATAGTGCTATATGGATCAATCAGCCACACCACTCCTTATTACATACCACATTAAGTGTGTGTCCCCCGACTGTAAAAAAAGAAAATCAGTCCAAAAAAGACAGTCTCAAAAATTACTAGGCTTCTCATCTATCTTCTTCCATCATGTGGAATTTATACCTTCTCCCATTCATGCCCAATTTAATTTCACTGATAAAAAGTTCTGAAATTTAAAACCAAAAGGCACTAAGAGAGAAAGGTGAAAGGAATAAAAGATAGCACACTAATTCCAAGTCAAAAACCCAAATTGCTCTGCAAACTCCAGTTCTGGTGTTCCACTTACTTTTTAGGAGTTAGATCTACCGTCAGTCATTTATAAAAGAATGTATGACATCATTATACATGAAAAATATTATTTATACATAATTTCACCATTTATACAGTCATCGTCAAAAACCACATATATAGCTAATAATTTTATACCAAGCAATATTGATCTATTAAAGAAATCTGAGCCCTGGCCTGTGTAGTTCAGTTGGTTGAAGCATTGCCCCATAACTAAAGGGTTGAGGGTTTGATTCCCCATCAAGGCACATGCCTAGGTTGTAGGTTCAATCCTAAGTCAGGTGCATGAAATCCCCAGTCTGGGCACATATGGGGGGCAACCGAACGATGCTTCTCTCTTGCATCGATGTTTCTTTCTCTCCCTCTCTCTCTAAAAGCAATGGGAAAAAAAAAGTCCTCAAGTGAGGGTTTTAAAAAAAATTATGTATATACACATATCTAATTAGCTACCTACAGGCTCTGGCAGAAGTAACACTATTGAGTGTGGCTGGTAGGGTATGTGAATGTCTCGCACAAGATGGACAGCACTTTGAACATTTCACCTAAAATGTCGTATTGTATACTTGAGCGTGATATTGTTATGCTACAGAATTACATGCTTATAATTTTGTAATAAAAAAATTTTATGTAATAAAAAAGGGCTGTTATTTGTGCCGGTCACTCACTGTACATATGAGCTATAAGAGTGAAGAGAGGGGAGTTTTTTCCCTTGGCTACTGGTCTATGGTGTAGAAATCACATTTTAGTTATCAATTTTTCCAAACAACATGCAAGTTACTCACCGTAGACTGAGGCAGTCCCTTGTTATTGTTTCGACCTCTGAAAAGATTAAATATTATGTTTATTAAATTCAACAGGCTAAACAAGCTAAAAATATTTTCAAATTTAAAATATCTTATAATCCAGCCCTGGCTGGTGTAGCTCAGTGGATTGAGCATGGGCCTGCGAACCAGACAACCGCGGTTTGATTCCCAGTCAGGGCACATGCCAGGGTTGCAGGCAGGTTCCCTGCAGGCCAGTTCCCAGCAGGGGACGCACGAAAGGCAACCATACATTGATGTTTCTCTCCCTCTCTCCTTCCCTTCCCCTCTAAAGATAAATAAATAAAATCTTTAAAAAAAAAATCTTATAATCCATTCAAATAAAGCCCAGGTGCTCAATCTGAGGGGTGGGTTCATCTAATGGTGAGTGTAAAGGCCATCTAAGCACGGTACGGCTCTCTCCAAGCTTTCCTGGCTCAGAGGCCCAGAACAAGTATGGGTCATGAAAGGGAGGAAGGAGGAAAGAAAGTGAATGTTATCAACCTAAAATAAATGAAATAAAAATAAGAATAGACCACTGGCAGAACCAATACTAAATATAATAATCTTTACTCCAAAAGCAACCAATCACTGTTATAAAAAGCTACTCAGGAGCAAAACAGATTCTATTCCTGATGTGCCTGACATCAACTCACCTCCCATACTTCTCCCTCACCTCTAAAAATAGGCACTGTGTTTACAACTGCAGGAAAACATCTGAAAATAAGTTAAATTATTGAAAGTACTTTCACTTCGAAATAATAAATGCCTCTGTCAGAATCTATGTAACAAGCATCTTTCCCCTGCCTCCCAAACAATGCAGTACACCCACAAAGCTGGCTATCAAGTAGTTTCCAGTAATACGAACTCATTTTCATATTAATTTAATTAGAGAACATAATACACCCTAAGGCTTGTTCCATTAGGAAAGATTAGGCCCCTTATAAAATGAAAAAAAATTAATAAAATGAAATGTTATATTCCTCATAAACATTAGTTACTCTGGAATAACAGAACTGGAATCTCATTTTGATAAAATTACAACTCTCAAATTAAGCCACAGACTTAAAACATTCAAAGAGAAGCACAATGCAGGTCCAAAAAGTCTAGCAGGACAAGTGGTGCCCATCCCAGGAAAGTCGCACTGATCTACCGCACTCCGGGGCCAGGGCTGACTGTGATGTAGTCTCTTCTCCAGCTCTGTCACCTTCTCTCATCTAGAAAATAATGTCTTGAACCAAATCACCTGAGATTCCTTCCACTACTAACATTCTGATTCTGTAACTCTTTGCCTCACACATAGCATAGACAGAGAAATTCCTAAAGTCTAAAGAATATGACTGATAATGTATTGTTTATAGAACTGACTACAAACCAGACACTACAGAAATACATCAGACCTCTCACCTTTATGTTACATACAGGGGAGGAAACCAAACCTTAGCAATTAATTAAACATCCTGACCAAAGCCGCCCAGCTCATGAGCAGCAGAGCAGTACTTGAACCAGGTGTTCCAAAGTCTAGACTTTTTATTTCTAAGTTATGCTGCCTCTCTAAAATTGCATCACAGGTAATAAGCTAATCTCACAATTTAGCCTAATAAAATTTGTACATTTTTTCAAACATTATTTAATGTACCAGTTTTTTCTATTTATTGTAGTCTGTAGCCAAAGGGTAGAAAATGGCTAAATCTTGCTTAAAAGGATTATCTTTAGTGATTGCTGAGATCCACAGGTAAAAGACTTAAGCAAATGGCACCAATTAAATGCTCTTAAAACCCTGTGGCATCCCCACAAAGCTATTTTAGAGTTTAAAACATAAAATTCTTTTATAATAGTCACACTATTTTTTCATTGATTGTACACTTATGTATTTGACTTACAAGAGCACCAATTGTTTTGACAATCCAATTTACTTAGAATAAATAGTTCGACAGGGAAAATAGTCACCATGGTATAAAGTGGTACAGTGTGGCAACTGCTGGCTTCCCTTGATATACCAGGTGGTTGGACCCCCACGGGGTATGTTAGCCTATCACAGCAGTATTCTCTGAAATTGCTATGATAAAATCCCCAATGCATTCTTGTTTTTCTCTTTCTGGATCCACTTAGGATATGCCTTACTTTTGTTTTTTCTTTAGTATTTTGAAACAAAGCATATTAACATTTCATACAGTAACAAAAATGAACATTAAAGAAAAGCCAAGATCACATTCTAGTCCTAAATATACTTATGATTAGATTGATTAGATTTAACAAAACTATATTCAGGATTCTCAGTTTCCAATAGTCATTAAATGAAGTTTAAGTGTTATTCAAAATGCCAAATTAACACCAAGAAATTTACAAAAATAGTAAGTTTATACTGCTTCAACATAAGGCAGGAGGGAGAAAATTGATGGGGTTAAAAATGAAATAAGATGGCATGAATTTGAAACTGTTGAAGATAGGTGACAATTTCTCTTACTCAAAAAAAAGTGCCTTCTGATGTGCTGCAGTCAGAGCCTAGATTTAATCAAGTTTGGAAATCTACCAGTTTACAGGAAACATGGGCAAAATGTTAACTGTATCATGAAGTTATGAATCAGTTAAATCCAAAATGTGGTAAATTCAAACTAACACATGACAGTTTCTTCAACATAGAAATGACATGAGAAGGAAAAAAGTATGAAGAGAGGAGTAATTATTATAAACTTCAAGTCACACAAAAGCCCAGTGGCTTCCCAATTTCAAAAACTTATTACAAAGCTACAGTAATTAACAATGTGGTACTGGCATAATGAGACATAAAAACCAATGGAGCCCTGGCTGGTGTGCCTCAGTGGGCTGAACGCCAGCCTGTGAACCAAAGGGTTGCCAGCTCCATTCCGGGGTTGTGGGCTAAGCCCCTAGTGGGGGACGCATGAGAGGCAACCACACATTGATGTTTCTCTCCCTCTCTTTCTCCCTCCCTTCCCCTCTCTAAAAATAAAATAAATAAAATCCTTTACAAAAAAAAGGAAAAAAATAGCCCAGAAATAAATTCTTTTTAAAAAAGTCTTTTTAAAAAAAGAACGGGAAAGAAACATGGATCAGTTGCCCCTTGCATACTCCCAACTGGGGACCCAGCCCACAACCCAGGCATGTGCCCTGACAGAGAATCGAGCTGGCAACCTTTTGGTTTGCAGGCCGGCACTCGATTGAACCTCACCAGCCAGGGCTAAATCCTCATGTTCATGGACAACTAATTTTTAACAAGAGGATTGAGAGCATTCAATGGGGAAAAGACATCTTTTCAAGAAACAATTCTGGAAAAAATGGATACCCACATGCAAAAAGATGATGCCAAACTGTTACCTTATATGATACACAAAATTAACTCAAAATGGATCAAAGACCCAAACTTAAGAGTTAAAACTATAGCACTCAGAAAAAACAGAGAGGAAAATCTCCACAACCTTAAACTTAGCAATGATTTCTTAATTGTGATACCAAAAGCATAGGCAACGTAAACAAAATAAGAATGTTATCAAAATGTAGAACTTTTGTGCAAAGGGTGCTATCAGAGTGAAAAGACAACATGCAGAATATTTGCATATCATGTATCTGGCAAGAGGGTAACTACCCAGAATACGTGAAGAACTTCAACAACTAAACAACAACAAAAAATACAATCTAATTCACAAATGGGCAAGACTTCAATAGGCATTTCTCCAAAGAAATAATGCAGTTTGCCTAAAAGCACACGAAAATATGCTCAACACCACTAGTCACTAGAAAATGTAAATCAAAAACATAGTGAGCTACCACTTCAGCCCTAAGATAGCTAGTATTAAAAATAAATAAATAAACAGCATGCTGGCAAAAATATGGTGCAACTAACTGGAACCCTCCTTGTGCATTGCTTATGGAAATGTAAAATGGTGCAACTGCTGTGGAAAACAGTATGGCAGTTCTCAAAAAACTAAACACAGAATTACCATACGATCCAGCAATTTCAAACACATACCCAAAGTAACTGAAAGTAAGGATCTGAACAGATATTTGTACACCAATATTCACAGCAACGCTATTTACAATAACCAATGTGTGTGTGTGTGGGGAAACCCTGAATGTCAATCAATGAATAAACAATGTGGTACATCCATACAATAAAGTATTAGTCAGCCTTAAAAACAACTGAAGTCCCGATATATGCTACAGCACAGATGAACCGTGAAGAAACACTAAGTGAAATAAGCCACACACAAAAGGACAAGTGTTGTATGGTTCTACTCGAGATGTAAGTAGAATTCAGAGATGAGAGAGTAGCATGGTAAATGCCAGGGGCTAGGGAATGGTTAAAATAGGAAGCAAGCAATTGCTTAATGGGTACAGGAACTTTATAGAAGTGGTGGTAGCACAATAATGTGAATGTACTTAATGCCACTAAACTACTTTTTAAAATGGTTATACCACTTAGACATAAAAATAGATGAAACACTGCCATTTGCAACTACATGGATGTATCTTGAGAGTATTATGATAAGTGAAATAAGTCAGATGGAATGACAAAAACTATGATTTCTCTCAGCTATGGGATATAAAACAGAAAGTAACAAACAAAACAAGCAAGTAAAATAAACCTCAGACAGCCAACAGAATGGTGTTATCTGGGAAGGGAGTCGAATATAAGGTGAAGGAAGGAGACTAGACTTGGGTGTCGAGCACAGACTAGAGTATACAGACGCTGTATTTATTATAAATTGCACACCTGAAATTTATATAATGTTATTAGCCAATGTTATTCCTCCAATAAATTTAATAAAAACAGATTCTAAAAAACTGGTTAAAATGGTAACTTGCATGTTATATGTATTTTACCACAATTAAAACAAAACAGGAGGGTGGGGGGAGGTGAAGGAGGGTATAGGAGGGTATAGGAGGGATGAATGGTGATGGAAGGAAACGTGACTTAGGGTGGTGAACACACAATACAGTGTACAGATGATGTGTTGTAGAACTGTGTACCTGAAACCTGGGCAATTTTGTTCACTAGTG